TGCCTCCATCTCTAGTGTCTGGATAGGGTCCCACATTCCACTCGTGCTCTTCTCCCTTGATGGTCCTAGGGTCTTTTGTTCCTGGACTATAAGATTAACTTGTTAAGTGCCGTCGAGTTGATTCTGACCCACAGCAACCCTGTATAGGGTTTCCAAGGAGCAGCTGGTGAGCTTGAACCACTGACCTTGCAGTTCAACCGACTTTGCAGTCTGACGCATTAGCAGCCACACCAGGACTTCTCCCACATTTTTGTTACAAAACGTCTACCTTTACAGTTGTGACTGTCGCAGTTAGTCTTGATAACAATTACTGTTGAATCATAAGAATCTTATCCCCATCTCCTTTCACCAGACCTGTCTGTTGTTGAGTACTGTGGAGTCAGTTCTGACTCATAGTGACCCTGCACAGGGTTTCTGAGACTGTAACTCTTTACGGGTGCAGAGAGCCTCATCTATCTCCCTCAGAAAAGCTGTTCCAAACTGTTGACCTTGAGGTTAGCAGCCCGATTTGTAACCACTAAGCTACTAGAGCTCCTTGTAGCCCCCCATTTTAGGTAGCCATTGTTTTAAGTTGCCAGTCCTTATCAATCCTGTGTACAGAGGACATAGGATTGATACTTGATGTGAAGATTCCTTCCTTCTCAGTTGATAGTTTGAGCTACTACATGCATAAGTATAGGTCAAGTTCATCAAATTTTAGCAATTTACACTGATTTCCTTTATCAAAAATGTTTTATCTTCCTCTAGTTGGGTTCTTGAATGACATTTTAAATAATCCAGTATAGCCAAAATATTGTCATTTCAACATAACCAACATTGAACATTGTTAATGAGATATTTTGGAATACTTTTTTTCTATACTTAGACTTTGAAATCAAGAGTATTTCACCCTTACAGCCCATCTTAATTTGATCTGTTTTTGCACAGCTATGTTTTAAGTGCTCAGTTGTTACTGCAGTAGCATGTGACTACTATAGTGGACAGCATAGTTCCAGGCAGTTCCCTTCAGTCCCATTCTTAGGAGACTAGACCAGCTTTATCCAACTCTTGTTTCAAGAATGAAATCATCACTTGCTCTTTTGAATCATGACTTGCCTGGGTTCCTCTTCCAAGCCCAGAAATGCTGGTACGGTAGAACAGATAATTAGGGAAGAAAAGTGTTTCTTCTATTTTGATTGAAGGAAACAACACAGAAGAAAAGAACTAATGTGACACCCTTACAGTAGACTGATTAATTCCAATACTTGTATCAGGGTTTGTGGTTGCCAATAAGATACAAACCACACATACTCTTATTATGTTCAGGGCAAAAACGCTTACACAGAAAAGCAAAAGAGCAAGATCAGCTTCACTAGTGGGCACCAATAATCACCCATGGCCAGCAGGATTCCCACCCCCCCCCCCCCCCCCATACAGCTGATGCAGGGCAGATGTCCTGTGCACACCTCTCTTGTGCAGTAGACTGGAGAGACCTCATTCCCTCCCTGCCAGGAACAAATACAGAAGTGGGGTTGGCCAGGTTCCATATGGTGTCCATGCATAAACAAAAGACAGAGAAATTACTGTGTGCCCAGACAAGGGGAAAGCTTGACCATTAAGGAGAAGGTACTGGGAGACAGAAGGTTACCCAATTGCCTGCCCCTTTATCAGAGAATGTAGGGCCCAAGGTTTTTACGTAGGTGGCATATATGGAAGGCATAGAGGCAAACCATTTCCCCAATGCTGTTGATTTGTAATTTGTGATCCGTTAGATATGGTATGAAGCACCTATAATACCTATTGAATAAGAAACAGAAATAAACAGATACATGAAACTCAGAACTTTATCTTGAATTTATTGTAAATATTAAAGGTTTTGCATTATGAATTTTTGTTAAGTACCATCAGCTCTGGTAGCGTAGTGGTTACGAATCAGGCTGCGAACCTTAAGGCCAGCAGTTTGAAACTACCAGCCGCTTCGCGGGAGAAAGAGGAGGCGTTCTGCTCCCGTAAAGATTTACAGCCTCGGAAACCCTGTACAGGGTCGCTATGGGTCGGAACCGACTCCACAGCACTTAACAACAACTTAACAACAACACCATCAATTTGGTTCTGACTCATAGGGTTTCTGAGGAGCAGCTGGTGAGTTTGAACTACTCGCCTTGCAGTTCAAACTGACCTTTTGGTCCAGTGTTTATCCTGTAGTACCACACCAGGACTCCTCATTATGAATACCTATATTTTAATTTGTTGTTGTTGTTAAGTGCCATCGAGTCGGTACCGACTCACAGTGACTTTATGCACAGCAGAATGAAACACTGCTCGATCCTGGATGTTATTAAGTGCTATAAAGTGTGTTCTGACTCATAGCAAGCCTGTATAGGGTTTCCAAGGAGCAACTGGTAGCTTTGAACCATTGACCTTTCGTTAAACAGTCCAATGCTACAGTGCCACACCAAGTACTAAATGTTTAAAAGATACTAAAATACTGTAAACCAATTAATACATAATTATCCCTTCCTTCTTTCTTCTTAGCCTTCTTTATCCTTATTTTTGCCCCAAATAAATTTGGCAGTATAACAACTTCAAAAGTTACAACCAGTAAAATGGTTAGAAATTGTTCTTTTTTTACACAGTAATATTTTTGTTTCAGGTTTTCTCCCTAGGCACAGACCTTTCTCCTGGCACAAGCTCCAACATGGGGTGAGGTATAGAAACTTGAAGGGTGCACCCTGGTACTCAAGGACCTGCGCCCTACATCAGGGTTTTCATTATTCCACATCCATAATAGGGAGAATGGTATCATTATTTATATACCATTTATATGTAGGTGGTTTTGTTTATGTGTGTGTTTTACTTCTAATCAGTGGTCTGGGAGAGGCGGGCTCTCAGAAACAT